CAGCTCCTTGGCCCCAGTACTGTTCATAAAAACTGAAATTAAATTACCATGTCTCCCCATAGAATGATGCCGCCTAAACCTAGAATGTCATAATCTGCCACACTCTGGTGGCTCCTAGATGTTCCTTTATTGTGTGACTATGTTATTCCTTATTAATAAAAATGGTGATTAGTCATCATCCAAAGAGTACTGACCACCTGAGTGCCAGGCATTAGTCTTTTAGTATTTTGTTGAAAACATTTTTAAAATTTATTTTCAAATGACATTTCTTTCTATAGCATATGTATACACATTTTCTACTGGAAACCAGGATGAAGACAAACTTCACTTAACAAAACCACTTCAAGCTCAATCTCTGCAAGAATTAATATACTCTATTATATAACTGCTACTAGTTGTTAGTTGAGGAAAAAGAAGTTTCTCATAAAGCTTGTAATAGAAATTTAAAAAATTCTTAGTTACACTCAGTTGAATCATGAACTACAAGCAAATAAAGGAAAAGGTCTTATTTCATGACTTGGCTGGTTTAAATAAATAACGTGAAGAATATGATTATTATAGTATATAGTGATTCTGCTCTGTGTCAGAGATAAAGTTTTATGTGAATTTTTTTCTAATAGTAAAAGCTAAAAGTGACAAGAGATAATTATCATTGGTTTGAACAATTGAGTCTAGTCCAAAACCACAACTTTTATTCAGATCTTTGAGTTTACTGAGTTATGCTTGGTGAATCTCTCTTGGAGGCAATCATAGAACAGCAAGAAAAAGGGAAAGGCAAAAGTGCTTCTAGGGTTCTTTTTTAGTCATAATATTTGCTTGGATAGATCCCAAACAAACACATTCACATCCAGAATCAATAATAGCATATACATACCACTCAGCATTGGGATGAGATGTCGAAACCATCTGCGGAAAATCAATCATGGTGATATGGTCATTTTCATCCAAAATGAGATTAAATTCATTAAAATCTCCATGAATCAGCCCATGATTTGCAAGTTTGACAATTAGTTCCATTGCTTCATTATATACTGATGCAGGATCTTCAACATGGTGTATCTGACATCTGAAAGTATTTTAAGCATGAAAACAGATTATTTGTATTCGTTTATGGTTTTAATCAAAGTATGTATGCATGTGAACATATATATCATTTCCATGCCCTGTCTCCCCAGTATTTTTTTCTCATTTCCATCAGCGCACAGATATAATATCTCCAATCTATTAAAAAAAAAAAGCCACACTCTGCTTCAATTCTGTGTATTTTTTCCACTGCCTTTTTTGGATCTTTACAGCCAAACTTGTCTACATGTGCTTTTTCCAATTTGTTTCCTCCCACTCTCTAATAAACCCATTTCAAACAGGCTTTCGTCCACCTTATTTCAGAGAAATAGCCCTTGTTGAGACTACCACTGACTTCAATGTTGCTAAATTCAGAGGTCAATTCTTAGTCCTCATCATAAGTGGTCTGTCAGTTGACCTCTTTGAAACATTCTCTTCACTTAACTCTTGGGACACCATTCTCTCCAGGTTTTCTTCCTTCCTCATAGATCATACCTTCTTGGTCTTTTCTTTTAGTATTTCATTTTTTTCCTTTACCTCTGAATTCTGGAATTCCTCAAAGGTCAAGCCTATGGCCTTCTATTTTCTCTTATTTAGACTCACTTTTGGTGATCTCATCTAGGCTAATGGTGTAAATACCATATATACACTGATTTTAACCTAGACTTCTCAAACTCTCAGGCATCTCAAACTTACCATATCCAAAATGGAATCTCTGATTCTGTCCCACCCTCTAACTCCTCCAAAATGCTCTTCCTGTAGCTCTCCTATTTCTGTACATGGTAGCTTTTTCCCTCCAATTAATTTGCTACTCAGGCCAAAAACCCTGGTGTCACCATTGACTCACCCCTTCCTTTACATCCATATCCAATCCCAAATCATGTTGGTTCAACCTGCAGAACACATTCAGAATCTGGCCACTTTTCATCACCTTCATAACTATCACTGTAATCAGAACTACAACTATTTCTTGCCTAGATTGTGATAATAGCCTCCTATCTTTTCTTCCTAATTCTGCCTTTGTCTCCCCAGAGTCTATTAATTCAGCAGGCAGAGTGACCCTCTTAAAACATTGAGATCACTGACTGATGAGATCACCTCTTCTCTGCTCAAAATATTCCCACTCCAATGACTTCTAATCTGAATCAAAATTTGATAAAGTTTTACCTTATCAGTGAGACTTTTCCTGACCACCCTACATAAAACAGTAGTCTCCCGTCCCCAGTAAGTACTTCTTTTCTCCCTTACTCTGCTTTATTTTTATCCATAGTGCTTACTAACAGCTGATACACATTTGCTTTAGTTAGTCCATGCTGTCAGAATAAAACCGAGTTTTTAATTTGTCTTTTGAGTCTGTTCCTTTAAATCAATTTCTAACTTCCCAGAGACAGTATTTCATTAACTAAAAAAAAATTTATTATAAACCCTGAAATTTATTTCTCAGAATTCATGGCTTTAAGAATAATGAATACTTACAGTGGATAACCATTTATGAGTTCCATGACCACTGCATGACGATTGTAATCAACTGGCTTTGGAACTGGAAATTTTCTCTCATACAGTGCCTAAAACATAGCAAAACAGGTGTAAGCTAATGAAGAGGTCATTACTCTTTAAAGAACAATAAAAGTAAACACAACTTTCTATAGCAAGAAAAACACACAATCGTTTATAAAATTATAGTTAACACAGGGTTACTTATGCATAACTTATTTATTCACTGTGGCAGTGTAAGCCATACATAAAAAACAAATTTTAAACAAAAGTTTGAATTCACTTTTCTGCCAAAATGAACATTTACAAAATTGAGTATTAAAAAGTTTCTAAACACTTTATAATTAGTGTTAAAAAGTCCCCAACAAGCTTACAGTCTCTTAGGGGTATATCATTTCCTATTTTGTAATTCTCTGGCATTTGTTGAAATGTACTGAAAATATTCATATTAGAAACAAATTGTAATTTAGGAAATACTCATCTTCTGACATATTAGGAAATGAGGCATTCTAAGAGAACAGAAATATTGGTTTATAGGGTACCGACCTTTTTCTCCAGACCACAATGTGCAATATAAATCTATTACGTGAAAAACATATACGCTGTTGTAGGCTGAGTCACTGAGTTATTTAAGACTATCCATACATCTTTTCCCCTAAGCTTACTGTCTTCAACCTTATTGTTCACAAAGCCCTGCTATTACTTCCTTGAACTATAGTAGGTATTCACCTTAGATTTATGCCCTTTGACATTTAAAATGCTAGTATTAGGAATGGTAAAAACTGCAATTACTTTTGCACCAACATAGTGTAGGGAGGCATTTGTTATTTATACCTCATTACTCTACCGGTGTTCTAGTTCTTGTAATCATACCTATCCTATTCTATGTACCAATACCAGACTAACCTGCTGATGCCAATACTCCATTTAAAAAATATACACTGGCTGTGTTTTCAGTTTGAACAACTCTTCCTGGTTTTCAAAACTCTTTAATCCACTTGTACAGTCCTACGTCTCCCAATATTCTCTCCAATACGCACCGAGAAATGCAGTCAGGACAGTCACCTCAGTGTCACCTAAACACATAGGGTTCACATTTATTCATGTATTTGCCCATACTGGCTTCTCTGCCAAAATACACTGTCTTAGAGTCAAGTAATATCCAAGCTTCTTGGCTCCACTCAGCTCCTACTCACTACCTGAAACTTCCTTCATCAACTATTCTATCATTTACAAAAGTTTCTACAAAGTCAGTATAATTTTTTTTTTTTAAATTGTTCTTAGACTTGCAGTGGTGTCTCACGCTTAAAACCCAAGTACTTTGTGAGACTGAGGTGGGTGGATCTCTTGAGCCCAGGATTTTGACAGCAGCCTGGGCAACTCTGCAAACCAGGCATAGTAGCACATGCCTGTGGTCCAGATACTTGGGAGGCTGAGGTGGGAGGATAGCTTGAGCCCAGGAGGTCAGGGCTACAGTGAGCTGTGATCATGCCACTGCATTCCAGCCTGGGAAGAGTGGGACCTTGTCTCAAAAATAAAGAAATAGATAGATAGATTCTTTCTTTGATGTGTTCTTTGATAGATGTGTGTTTGTGTTATCTTCTCAACTTTAAGACACAGATTGTACTGGTTATTTCTTTGGCATCCACTCCTTTACCCTACACTACCTCAGCAATTAATTTCAAAAGGCTGTCTCACTTACCTTCTGTGAACAAGAACCAAACTACTTCCCACTTCCCAGAGATTTTTATTTGCTTTGTTTTTAAGTAATTTTTTTCAACATAGACCATTTTGAACATAACTTGGCAGATTAATAGCAAGTGATAACCTTAAACATTATGAATATTTGTCTACAACTTGTGCTATAGCCTAGACCTCATGTTATAGCCTAATCTTTATCTTATTGTTTCTCTCTTATGAAAAATCAATATATTTAAGGAATGTATTTATGTGCAACCAGATTCCATTCCTATACCTTCAATATAAATATCCTGAAAAACACCTACTACAGTTTTGGGAAAATATGTAATGATCCTTACCAAACTGCTAATTTACTGACTATTATAAGACATAAACTATTAGTATAAGACAATAAATACACAACATGTATGCTATCAGTATTACTAGTTTATACTGTCTTAAGAAATCTCCCATGATTAGTAAACATTTAAGCATATAATATAACCTACTCAAACAACAACAAATTGAATCCTCAAGAAACAGGTGTTTACACACTGTGCCAATCTTCCATTCAAATTTTTTTTTTTTAAATGAAGATAAATTATGACTAACCCTATTGGCAGAATAATGAAAACACAGTATTATCTTTTGTTTAACCTAGTTATTATTGAATATATTTTATTTGGCTATTATATTTAACAAATCTATGCTGAACTTAATTTTGAAGGCAAAAAGTTAAAAATAGAAGATTTTCTTTAATGTCAGAATAGAGTACAAACGTAATTCATCGCTACCATAAGATATGTAGTTAAGCTGCAATACTTGAGGAAACTGCAGAGGTAAGCACACCTGAAGTAAAATGAGAAGGCCTAACCCTGAGAAAACCATCTTTGCAATTATGGCATTTCATCTGCAGGATTAAGTATTTTTTTTCTATTTGTACAAATGTATGAAGTACATGTAACATTTTGTTAAGTATACATAAGGAGTGATCAAGTCAGGTTATTTAGTGTGTTCATCTCCTGAGTAAAATACATTTTGTTTACTATAGTCACCCTACTCTGCTATCAAACATTGAATGTATTCCTTCTAACTGTATGTTTGTACCCTTTAACCCACTTCTCTTCATCCTTTCCTCTTAGAAACTAAAGATTTTTACCTTTTTTTTTTTTTTTTGAGACAGTTTTGCTCTGTTGCCCAGGCTCAAGTGCAGTGGCATGATCTTTACTCACTATAACCTCTGTCTCCTGGGTTAAAGTGATTTTCCTGCCTCAGTCTTCCAAGTAGCTGGGATTACAGGTGCCCACCACCACACCTGGCTAATTTTTGTATTTTTAGTAGAGATGGGGTTTCACCTTGTTGGCCAGTCTGGTCTCCATTATGTCAAGTAATCTGCCCACCTCGGTCTCCCAAAGTGCTGGTATTACAGGCATGAGCCACTGTGCCCAGACAATTTTTACCATTTTTAACATTCAGATAAGTCTATAAATGGCGTTTGTTCCATTATGTGAAACAAAAAACTAAATAACTTATCTGAGACACTAAGGTTTCCATGGATGGTAATTACTTGGTGTTTTCAATTAGAAACAGACATACGTATAGTTATATGTATTGAATAGATATATATACACCCACATATAAATATTTGTGAGCTAACAGCATCATTAACTATTTTTGGTTATTCCATCTTGTCAATATTATAGAATGTGTTGCCCTTATGCATTAATAACAATTAAAATACCTTAACATAGAAGGGAATTACTTAAAGAGCCCAAACAATCAACAGAATTATTTAGGGATTGAGTCTGTTTGTAGGCATTGAGTCTGAGGTTAGAGAGATGTGGGGGCCACAGAATCATACTGGACATTAAGGCCCTTGAGACACATGTATTATTTGGCTAAAACATGCATGACTATAAAATAAATACCTTCATATAGGCAAATTCCTTCATGGCAGAGAGACGAGATAAGTAAAGCCAAGAAACATTATGCCTATGTTTATGATAATCACGTTTGTTTTTCAGATTTCGAAATGAGGTTCTTCCTAGTCTGTGAAGCTTTAATGCAAATTGCTGTCCTTCTTCATTTGCAACAATGTAAATATCTAGAGACAAGATTTCAAAAAACAGCATTATCACATGTTTATTCCAATCACGTAAAACAATTCTAACTTTGTCTAATTTTATTTGTATCAAAAATGTCATTTTTCCTAATAAAGGCTGAATATCCCTTATCTAAAACTTTCAGACCAAGAGTGTTCTCAATTTGGGAATATTTGGACACAAATAGTGAGATATCTTGGAAGTTATTAGAAGAAAATTCCTGGTATAAATGAATTTTCAGTGACAGACTTTCAGATAAAATAATAACCTACTAATTAAGGGTGCCTTCTGATTTGTATTGCTTCCAACCAACTTTCCAATTTACTGTTTGGTTGGAAAAAAAGGAAAATTAAAAGAAAATATGCTTTCTGAAGGGAAAACATAAATTAAAACAAAGCAAATACTTTCCATAGTACTATCAGCACTTACCTGATTCTTTGCCAACACCCATCTGGTTTCCAACAGACTCAACTACTTGCCTAGAAGAAAGTGTTTTCAAAGCTAGGTAATCATATCCTGCATTTGTCAACCGGTAGCCCTGGACAGCTACACAAAATCAAAGGAGAAAAACCATATTTCAGTTACACTGTATAACCAAGTCACATAAGTTCAACTCAAAAGAAATATTTAACAATGGAAAATCTTTATTGGAAGACTCGGGCTCACAAACTTCCAATTTCTTCCTATAATTTGCATTTCTTCTTCAGTGTACTGTTAATTAAAGTGTGACCTACAGACTGAGGTCTATACGTTTGTGATGAGATAAAAGGAGGCATTTAAGTTCAATTTTTATATTAATTTGACCTAGAATTTATGTCTGATTTTGCATATCTGTTATCCATTTCATTTTTCTAGTATTTTTTCTTATTTTATAAAAGTAAGGATCTGTGATAGGTTGGAAAAAACGAATCCCTCACCACAGATGGTTTAAGACGTAATTCTCTAGAGTATGACTGCTGATTGTATTTTCCAAAGATGGTAGCCACAATATCTCTATGCTACATGCTCTTCTGTAGTACCTACATGCTCTTCTGCAGTTCTGCGGTACTCTACACGCTCTTCTGTGGTACCCTACATGTTCTTATTACCACTCTTTCTCCACTTCTTTTTGAGCTGGTAGTGTCCTGTGATTGTTTTGATTAATAGGATATGGCAGAAGTATGTTTTGTCAATTCTTCGCCTAATGCTTTACTAGTCTGGCAACTTCTACTTCTTGCCTTTTGGAACACTTGCTCTGGGGGAAACCAATTACCTGAAAAATCACAAATGATGCCTCAAAATACTTACTTTTGGTACACTCCCAAGCTATGAGTTTATGTTTCACTAATTACCTGAAAAATCACAAATTGTGCCTCAAAATACTTACTTTTGGTACGCTCCCAAGCTATGAGCTTATGTTTCACTAATTCTCTTAAAACTTTATTACAGCCACCATGTTTAAGGCTGGCTATAGAAGCAATCAAACTGCCAGGAACAATTTCATGGTTCTTCATGCCCATTTCAACCTGAAATTAAGGGAATCATTATGTAATCATAATCAACACAAAACTTTATCTATCAAAACCCTGCTAAGAAATGAACTTCTCCTTGAAACTTTCCTTACTATGCAATTCTCCAACTAATTCTGAGATATAATCACTTCCATCTCTGAAACTATTTTAAAATTGCAATTTGAGATCTAATCACTGGTATTTATATTGTCTTTCCATTTCAAGAGTAGGAATTTTGAGTGCTAGACATACTGATGACCTTCGGGAAACGCTAAAATATTTGATAACATCTAAACATTTGTCTTTAAAAACTACAGATATGCAAGTATTTATTAAGCAGGTATTTAATGAGAAAGTACTACATGTAGGCATTGTAGAGGATTTAAAAATATATATATAAACATTTTTTCCCCTGAGGAATTTTTATCTCATGATGGAAATTTTTGAAAATGGTATACATCTAAGTTTATTAGAAGGTAAGAAGTGATAAGTGCTTAAAAAGGTAGCTCAGGGCAAATGAATACTTCTAGCTTAGGGATCAGTTCGAAGGAAGATGCAAAACTAGAGACTGACTTTTTTTTTTTTTTTTTTTTTTTTTTGAGACGGAGTTT